GCTCAGGGGGCCGGAGAGTGGAGCGCGGGCTGGGGGGAGTGCTCTGACGTGCTGGGGGGGCTGCGGGGGGGCCGCTAGTTCCTCTCGCTGGACAGCGAGCTGGTGGGGGAGCTGGCGGTGCTGGGGTGCGAGTTGCCGTCGGGGGGGCCCAGCCGGGGGCGCACGGACAGCGAGGCCGGCGGCCGGATGTTCTTCCGGTCCTTCTCCGCCTCCAGGTCTTCGTCGTAGCGCTCGTCCTCCTCCTCCTCCTCCGTCTCGCTGTGGTGGGGCGAGGAGTGGCGGGACAGCGACGGGGAGGGGGGCACCGAGGCAGGGCGGGGGTACCTGAAGCCCTGCGCCTGAGAGACAGGGGGGAGCACTCATCAGACACCCCCCAAACACACAGTGAGCCCCGGAGACACAGGGCACCCCCAAACACACACTGACCCCCAGAGACACAGGGCAACCCCAATCAGAGAGATTGACTCCCAGAGACACAGTACACCCCCAAACAGACACTGACCCCCAGAGACACAGGGCACCCCCAGTCACAGAGATTGACTCCCAGAGACACAGGGTACCCCCAAACACACACTGACCCCCAGAGACACAGGGCACCCCCAAACAGACACTGACCCCAAGAGACACAGGGCACCCCCAATCAGAGAGATTGACTCCCAGAGACACAGGACACCCCCAAACAGACACTGACCCCCAGAGACACAGGGCACCCCCAGTCACAGAGATTGACTCCCAGAGACACAAGGCACCCCCAAACACACACTGACCCCGAGAGACACAGGGCACCCCCAATCAGAGAGACTGAGCCACAGAGACACAGGGCACCTCCAAACACACAGACTGAGCACCAGAGACACAGGGCACCCCCAAACAGACACTGACCCCCAGAGACACAGGGCACCCCCAAACACACACTGACCCCCAGAGACACAGGGCACCCCCAATCAGAGAGACTGAGCCCCAGAGACACAGGGCACCCCCCAATCGGAGAGACTGAACCCCCAAACACACACACTGAGCCCAAGAGACACAGGGCACCCCCAGTCACACAGACTGACCCCCAGAGACACTGGGCACCCCCAAACACACAAACAGCCCCAGAGACAGACACAGAGACAACACCCTCACACAAGAGCCCAGATCAGACAGGAGGGCTCACAAGGAGACAGATTCACAACTGAAAGACAGACTCACAGTATTGGGTTCATGAGGCTCATAACTGTAAATCTCAGGGAAGGACTTTGCCAGGGCCATGTGACGAGCTGAAATATAATACTGAAAAAGAGAGAAATAAATGATTCTGTTACTGTAAAACAAATACTAAAGCCCTACAGGGAGCTGTACAGACTAGTGCTGAAAGACTAGAGGGAGCTGTCCTGTACAGTCTGGTGCTGAAACACTAGAGAGAGCTGTCCTGTACAGAGCAGTGCTGAAACACTAGAGAGAGCTGTCCTGTACAGAGCAGTGCTGAAACACTAGAGGTCACACAGTCTGTCTGCCCTTTCCCTGTCCCCTCCTCTCACCCTCCCCAGGTATCTCCAGTCCAGGAGGTCACTAAGCCTCTCGGTCCGGTTCCTCTGAATGATCCTCTGTCTGCGGCTCTGCTGACAGAAGGAGTAGAGGAAGGAGGTCAGCTGGTTACAGGACTCATCCACCCCTCTGAACCGCCGGTCCAGGATGTAGATACCTGAGGAAGAGGGCAGTGTCAGCAGGCGGAGAGCTGGGCTGGCCAGCAACAAGCCTGAATCAAACAGACAGGCATCTGAAGACGGCAAAGGAGAGCAGACGTTCAGGAATAACGAAGGGAGGAAACTACAGGGGGAGACTCACCGTACGCAGACGGGTCTGCAATGTGTTCTTCCATAAAGCAGCCAAAACCGGACAGATTGGTGGAGACACTGGGAATCCCCATTACTGTACACTCAGCTGGAGAGAGAGGTTGATATATTCACTGACTGGACACTCCAGTACATTAACACTGCACTGAGAGAGAGAGGGGTTCATACAGACACACTGACTGGACACTCCAGTACATTA